CGGTAAACCGGTTATATTGCGAAGCCCTAGTGTCCACCACTGGTGTTGATGCAGGCTTGACAACGACGACGCATAGACGACACTAAGCTATTGGCTACAGGAATGTTGTTCCATGTCTGAACCAACGCTTGTCCTAATTCAGCTAAAGTCAGTGGCTAATTCTGGGCTTGACGTAAACGTCGCTCCATTTCATTCCAAGCGTGCTTGATAAGGGGACAGGTCCGGAGAAATAGATGACCAGGGGAGTAACGGAATGTTCTGCTGTCTGAGGAAATCTGTCACAACACCAGCGACATGTAGACTGGGCATCATCTTGCTGAAGCGTGAAGCTACGTCTCTGTCCTTGAATGAGCGGGTGCACATGAGGTCCAATGATCTCATCCCTGTATCGCAGACCTGTCAGATTGCCATTGACAATGCCAAGTTGTGTCCGGCCATGAGATGCGATGCCTCCCCATCCGGTATTCGAACCCGCATTCTCAGAGTGAAGCACCTTATCGCCGGCACACAAACCCTCTCATCCTCCGCTGTATTGTGCTCGCGATAAGGTACCTGACCTTGAGAATGCGGGTTCGAATCCCGGGTGGGGACTCAACCCAACAAAAGTACGAGAATCTGTACTTTACTGAGAAAGTGTAATCCCAAATATAACATACGTTACATTTGACCACTTTCTGAAAGGCATTGTGTATTTATATGGGAATGCTTTCTGCTCAGTAGTTTAAGTGATGTGACCCTAGTTTTCTTGTATTAATATTAACATTGATGCCTTTTGCGCGATGTAAACGCAACATGTGGAAAAGGTCGATATGCTTGTCGTTTTTGAGTTTCCCAAAGACTACATCGCGTGAGGGACATCTTTAAAGGATCACAGAAAACACTTCAGGCATTTAAAAAATATCAAAATGTCAAAGTAACTTGGAAAGCTAAACACATACGATTTTGGTATGAAACCCACCAACAACAAAGAAATGCTATACAACTAATAAATCAATATAAATGAGTGCAAAGTGAATATAATGGAGTGATAGTACAAATGTCACTTACATTGCAATTAAATGGCAGGAGACCATATATAATAGTAATAGAAATATAGTGAGAGAAAATATTATTCATGTAGCAGAAACATTGGTCAAGTTTCCAAAGTAGGCTTGTGCTGGATATTCCGGGTGAAAAATACTCTATATTCCATAGCTGGTGATGATGCAATGTGACATAAGATAGAAGCACTTGTATACACTCTTTTCAAAAAAAAGAAACACACAAGCCATTTTGGAAGAATTTATTGCGTTAGTTTAAGAGCAATTCTTTCATGTAATTTCAATGGTAAACTGACTGACTGAGTTTGGTTTTACGCCGCTTTTAGCAATATTCCAGCAACATCACGGCGGTTCAATGGTAAAACGACAAAGGGGTCGCCAACACAACAGCAGCCTTTATTGTTGTGTGTCTGTTTACTTGAGTCCACATGATGGCGTCAAAGTCAATACTATGTATGGCCACCATTGGCAGCAATTACTGCTCAGCACCGACTCGGCATAGACTGAACAAGTCAACGAAGTCGCTCTTGCGGAATTCTCCACGTTTTTTTGCAATGCGATGGCCGGTTGTGGAAATGTCTGAGGCGTGTTTTGACGTTGACGTACACATCCATCGAGTTCATCCCATAGGTGTTCTATCGGCTTTAGATCTGGTGATCGGGAAGGCCATCGCAAGACATTGACGTTAGAACTGGCAATAAAAGCGGACCGTGACGCGTGCTGTATGTGAAGTAGCGTTGTCATGCTGGAACATCTCCCCTTATCTTACCTCACACATAAATGCCGTTTTCTGATTGGCTGAGCGCTCATCTCTTATTTTCAATGTACCCCGCTTACAAGCGAGTAACATTTTAATGTACCCCGCTGTCAATGGCAACTCATTTGGTACTTCGTGGTAGTAATTCTTTATCTCGAACATTGAATCACGTAATGATGTACGGAAATTACCGATGTTTTGCGAATGCAAATCGATGGAAGGGAGATTACTCTAAATCTGTTTATCTTGTCAGCAAAATCTAGCGATGGCTACAAAAAGATTTGTACCCGTGCTTCAGACATTTCAAAATTAACATATAGGTGTTCGGTAAGATAAATACGGGCTTAGGGAACATAAACAAACATCGAGGGTACAGCAACAGACATCGAGGGTACATCAATCCATGCCCCCCTCGTGACCAGTGAACAACTTATAATGTGACGTGCAAGGACTTCGTTGATGTCCTGATTTGCTGTCAAATTCCCCTGAACCACCACTAAATCAGATCTTTGTGAGCTGGATATCGCACCCCTACACTATGACACTCACTCTACCGAATCTGTCGATCCGTCGAATGCATTTAGGGGCAAAACGTTAATTTCTCCGACGGTAAACACACTGTCTTCCATCTCGACGGTGAAGAAGAAAATGTGGTCGTATCCCCACTTCACGCAACCGATTCCTGACAGTTTGCTAGGGAATTCTTCTCAAACCAGGGATGCGTCGTGCAGTCTCCACGGCTGTGGCAAGACAATGACGCAAGTGAACATCCCGGTAACTCTTGGGTGGACGATCCTGGGTGGAATTGGTCTGCAGGAAACGATCCCAAAGGCGAGATATGATGCTCTGGTGAACGTTGAAATGTCGGGCAACTGCAGACAGCGACGCCCCAGCTTCAAGGCAGCCTATGGCGATGTTTCGATTAGCGGCACTCAGTCGTAACATGATGATTTCCTCTTTTCCAGGCAAATAACGAATGACAAAATTAAATTTTTATAGTGATCGACACCGCGTGCTTTCCGCTTGCTTGCAAGTGCATATTGCTTTGCATGTTTCTTGGTGACGTTTTGGAGAATATTTCTTCAAATGCTTCTAAAACAAGGGAAAAAGTTAAAATTGCCGCGTATTGGCGCTGAAGCTGTTTACAATCACACAAATATGACGTTATGGAAAGAAATAGTACATTTGTATTGTTTTTGCCGCAGCTACATGAGTCCAATGTTCTCAAAATCACCTATGCGTTTCTTTTTTTGAACAGTGTAGTAGAAAAACCTTCAAGAATGTTCCCTACAATTGTCAATTAATCTGTATCAACTCTAGAAGATTCCAGACTCCACTTACCTCCAAAAGCATAAAAATGTAATAACTTCCACACAACCGATTATATTAGACAGTCATTCAATCCTGACAACTAATTATTGCAGAAATACACAGTTGTGAACTTCTGTGCTGAATCTCAACAGCAGGAGAAGCAAAATAACAACGTTGTTTAACATTACATTTCACTGTCATGTGACTCGATATTGATCCAGGATTGGAATGTATCTCGTACCTTAAAGGTAAGCTAGAACACATACCAGTTTTTTTTTGAAGTTAAAAAGTCAATCATGACATTGTATGAATGTTGTTGTCATGAAAGGATGGCTTGTGAATATTGGACTAGATAAACCATTTCATGGTCAACGATGATACGCAAATGGCCTTGACAATGTTTAACCATCCGATTCCATTTTGGTCGGCTTGTAGACAAACATGTAATACAGGCCACTTATTCTGAAGTAACATCCGTAGGATTTGAAACACATTAACTCCTTGTGCTACTAATTTCTTGGGTTTTCACCGTAGCAAATTTTATATATTTGAAGTAGAATTAAAAAGAAATACTATTGCCAATAATTTTGTGTGAGGTTGCAGGTGGGCCAGTAGTCTAAGACCCCGCACTTCGCTACACAGAGTTGCGCCCCTTTGGCTTGCCTGAAACCCGTTCCTGTGGGTTCTAATCCTGGTTTGCACTATACCTTTCCTCTAAACTAGCAAGGCAGTTGCATCACTTCAGGCTTTGTTTTCGGGTTGTTTTACGCCGCACTCAGCAATATTCCAGCTATATGGCGGCCGTCCGTAAATAATCGAGTCTGGACCAGATAATCCAGTGGTCAACAGCATTAGCATCTATCTACGCACTTAAGATATGATGACATGTGTCAACCATGTCAGCCAGCCTGACAACCCGATCCCGTTAGTCGCCTCTTATAGCAAGCATGTGTTGCTGTAGATCAATTCTAACCGGGACCTTCTAAGCTTCCCACTTTAAGCTGAACCGAGGTGATGTAACTGGAATAATGCTCGAAGCGAAGTCCTGATTTACTGAACTGCCGATGTCATGACAGGACTGATATGCACCAGTTTAAGTCATAATAAAAAAATCTTTCGAGGTGAATTATATTGCAGAATCTGTCCTTTAGTGGGAAAGTGTGATCGCAAATAAAACGTGTTACATTTGACCTACACTTTCATATTGACATTGTGTATTCATATATTTTCGTGTCTTTCGAACAATCACTTTAGGTGGTTAAAACCTGAATTGTGTTTCCAGAAAACTGTGAAACATCACCGGACCACCAGGACGGCCAATCCAGGAGGTTTTTAAGGTAATATGTATCCCACAGTACTACCTTGTCTAGTCACTGACAAGTGACGACAGTGGTTCCATACCTTGTGCGGAGGAGATGGCTACGATAGAACATTGATGAAAATGGGATCGGATTGTTGCTATATTATCTGGCCGAGATGGGGATCGAGTTTTAACTGTATTATCTTACTTATTTTGGTAGCGCGTTTTTGATCATCGTTGATGATCTTACTAAGACTGGTTTCAGGTTGTTGCTATGTATCGTGCTATGAAGGGGATCGGATAGTGACTCTTTTATGTTATTTTGGTATCAAATGGTTGCTTTATTATCTTGTGAGGAGCAGATGAGTGTTGAGTACCATGTCATGACGAGGGTCAGGTGGTTGCAAGAGTATCCTGTTTAGTGGGTGATCCTGAATACGCTGTATATATTAACGATAACATTTGTTTCTGTACCGAATGTATAAGGCTGTTTGTTGTTGTTCGAGTTCAGACAAGCCAGTGATTGGTGTAAACTACTAAATACTAAATAGCAGGTATACAGTCAATTATCTACCCTCAACTATGACATTACCTGTGGAAAGCTTTCTTTATTGGCGTTAATCCATCCAGGTGCGTTGACTACCTTTCCAGGTGTTGTAGTCGATGTTTCGTAGTTCAGCTCGCACGAAGACGTCGCTGTGTCGTAGTTGAAGGAGGCACAGATAACATCATACATGCACTGCATGGCACAGTGGTACTGTGTACGGGAGGACTTCACAACATAGGTGGAGCCCGATAGACGCAGCTTCTGGAACACACTGCCGGACAGTCTCTCTGAAAGTTCGGTGCAGGTCATGACTACTTGAGTGACACACAGAAACAAAACTACCACAACAGTTATCACCTTTTTCATCGTTGAATTTGTAACAGGGTGGGCAACGGTCAGTAATGCGTTGAGTGAAAAACACCTCTCTATAATAATTGCAAGAAAATGTCAGTGTGTTTTGCAGCTATCCATAACACTGCACAATTATGGTCCAGAAACACTGTACTGTTTTCTTCTTTTACAACGCTGATACCACTTAAGCATGCATTGTGTAAGAAACTCTCAACTTTCTCATCTTGACTCAGCGTTGTCCATCAGTCAATTGCTTTCCAATCAAGAAGCTGGACGGCCTGAGCATCTATTGAGTTCGCCGTGTAAAGAATCTTCAAACTATATCGATGTTTGAAGTTTGTCTTGGATGCCTCTTTTGTCAAAGACACGGCGAATGATGATCTCAATTCTTGCTCAGTCACAAACTGAAGTGTGTCTTGCAGCCAACAAAAAGCCAGAAATACATATGCTAATGCATGCAATGGAATTCTGTACCATGACGGATCTATAGGGTATTGTTTAATCATTGTGAAGTGAAGAGACGACGTCTTTGTTAGCGGATATCTACCATGAAGTTTTATATTGACATTTGATTGACTGGAAGCCTGCGTGTGTTCAATATTTCACCATTAAGTAACAAATTTATTTTTTTTCATGTGAAACGGGATGCAATTACGTTTTTAGGGGGAAACAATCAACACAGTTCATGAATTATTTACATTTAATGTTCTACTGTTCAATTCCCATAAACTTTCATGCAACTGTTGTGACTTGCCACAACCTATGTGGTAATTAACATTATCGGCTTACACAATGGCTGAAAATGAGTGCAGCTAAGTGTAGGAAGGCGTTTCCTATTCTCGCGGTACTTACGGATATCGGCTGAAAAAATAACACAAACAATTCATGAATGCTTGTTGTTTTTAAATGAAGGGCCTTCTCCTCTAACATCTACATCTATCAGCTGCTAGATCCATCAGGTGAATTACCACTCGTGAGCCCGGTGATAAACAATGCCATCCGCCATTGACGAAACGAGGCTTCTCCCATTCTCGCGGTATTACCAGGAATTAACGTTATTGAGTGTATGTAAGAGCAATCCTGCCGGAAAGGGCGGGAAAAGTAATGATATGTCCAAGTTGGTATAAAATCCCAATATTCGTGACACTGCAAGATTTTGATCACTTTCAGACTTGGTCCACTTCCTAGTTACCAGTCGATGATGTAAACAACCGGTAATTCAATCAAACATACAATACAATAGTATTTACAAACAGGACAATGTTATTTAAAGTTGACAATTGATATGTACAGAAACATTCACAAAGGGATTGCGTTACAATACAAGCTCACCAAAAATACAAGCTCAAGATATTGTTTCAAATGATAGACATAGTTTGCAAAGTTTATAATGACAGCATGGTATGTGTCCCGCACTAGGGATCGTGTGAACTGTGTAGCTGCACCTTGAGAGTTGAGAGCATTTCGTCGTCTTCCAACATTTCAAAATTTACATCAGGGAAGCAAGGATTATTTTCAAGTAATTTAGTTTCTATTCGTTTGAGTAATAGCTTCTCAAAAAAGTTTTCCAAGGCATGACGTTAGAGTAATTCCCTATAGTTTCGGGGATCGGATTTTTCCTTTTACCTTTATAGATTGGAATGACCATACCAAGTCTATAGTTAAAAGGCACATAGCGAAATTTAATTATTTTGTTAAACAGGTCACAAAGGTGTAATGAGACACTGCCCCCGTGGATAATGTGCTCATTTGTAATGTTATCTGGGCCTGAGATTTGTTTTGCAGAGAGATTTGACAGTCTCACGTACCTCGTTATCTGTAAAATCCTTTTCCAGTCCTTCATCGATTAAATAGTCATCTAATGCTTCAATAGATTCAACCCTCTGACATATTTCATCTTTAAAGTCATCTTCAAACATCTGTGAGGTGTGTGGCTGAGCTAAGTCCGTGTAATATTTACCCCACAATCTACATATACCAGCAGGTGTTGATTCATTTTCATTATCATAGTTAAGTGTGGTTATGACATCAGTTGTGGATCTTTGTTTTCTGACAGTTTTGTAAAAGGTATTGATATCAAGTTCAGCTGCATGTTCAATTTCAGTCAAAATCCCACGCTTTTTAGATCTTTTAGATTTTCGATGCAGACGTCTAAAGTTTGACTTTTCAGTTTTATATGATAATAATACATCCGAGTCGTCACCTCTGGGCTTACCACTGTTAACCCATGCTCTACGAGGAACTCTCATACGCGTGGTAGTGGGCATTATCTAAACCATCCTGTTTCCAGTATGGCTTTAGATAAGGCTTGAAATGTACTTTGTGGGATACATTTACAGCTGGCCTGTATAAGGCCCTTAGTAATAATCTGACAATGGTTTTCTATAATTTGACAATGGTCAGTTGTAGATTGTGTGCTTTGGTGATATACAAAACTGATATATTTTTCTACTTCATACTCAAACATATCTAAGTTGTCCCTGTTAGCTTTGTTCCATTTTGGGACTTTAGGTTTTTGTTAAAATGATCACGGCGTAGGGCGTGTTCTGAAAGGGACATAAGACAAGGAAAGTGATCGGATACTGAATAAGGGCATGAGTCTATCACTTCACAATTTGTAACATAGCCCTGAACCCAAGATGGAACAAGAAAATAATCGATTAGGCTTTGAGAGGTTATCTTTGGATCGACATGTAAATCCGGGTCCTCTGGATCGTAATGCATCAACAATATGTGAAAGGTATCTATCAAGTACCATGTTATTGAGATGCTTGGCCCGTGTAGACAGGGGGTGTTTACATATATCTGCATTGAGATCACCCATGATAATAGTAGTACCAAGCTGACAGAGGTTATCATAAATGTCTAAAAATCTCATTAAGTGCATCACAATAAACAGAGTGAAGTACATTTGTTGAGGGCAGTCTACATGCAATAATAAAACATCTGTATGATGTTTACGGGACAGTTTGACTGCTATTGCATGACTTGTAGAGAGTTGAGACAGCTTCAGCTTTCCAGTTACACTGCTTATTAATTAAAATGGCTAATCCACCTGAACCCCTAGAACATGAAAGAACAGCTTTGTATGCCATTAGGTTAGTGTCATGAAATGCTGTTAAGTTCTCAATGTTATCTGCCGACAACCAGTGCTCCTGTAGAGCAAATGACGTCAACCGGAAGTGACAAGGTTTTGGTTATATAGTCCGAACCATGTAAAACACCTCTCACATTCCATGTCAGAAAGGATAGCGCCATAAGGATATGAATACAAATTATATACATCATGATATATTGTCTAAATAACATATCAACCATAGTCACCTTAAAAGTTGTGGTTGTCAGCTTGATCATATGAGTATCTCATCCTGCTTTTAGGAACATAGTCCTTACTTCTAATATCCGCTGGCCAGAATTCTGGATTACCTGACACAACAGCTTCATAATCATCAAAGTCAATGTTAACTTGCACTGTATAAGTATCCTGGTAGTTATAGTTCTGTCTCTTCTTCAAAAGTCGCACAAACGTTATACGAACATGCCGTTCATGTGCATAGTCAAAGATTAAGTTCTTTACACATTCAAATGAATCATCAGCTTTAATGTTATACAGCACAATCCTTTTACTACGCAGCCTTGGAACTCCTTCTAAAGTATTGTAAGTTTTCGCAAGTGATTTGATAGGATAGGAAGTTGGCTTACCCTGTGTCGTACGTTCTCTATGTAGCTTGTCTTTATGTTTGTCAGAACTGACAATTTCCCATGGCTCTATTTCACACTGGTCGCATTGGTTACTGTTCTGTGTATACGTAAAGTCATATTGATAATTCTTATCAGTAAGATCTAAGACGGTGTTGTTACCAGATGTAGTGTTCCTCGCTTGCCGCACTGGTTCAGCTGTTTTATGTTGCAATGTGACGTCCTGTTGTTTGGTCCTGTCTTGCTGGGGCACAACTGGGGGACTTGGCACAACACATGAACCTGTTCTCGTTGTTTCTGTAGATTCAGAGTTGCTTTGAATTTCTTGATTTTCACAGTTAGTACTTGTAGTTCTGGTCTCTGTAGCACTTGTATGTTTAGATCTTGCGGTGATATTGTTGATTTTCGTTTCAATGGTTTTCAGTTTTGCATCAACTGAGTAGGCGGATATCTACCATGAAGTTTTATATTGACATTTGATTGCCTGGAAGCCTGCGTGTGTTCAATATTTCACCATTAAGTAACAAATTTTTTTTTCATGTGAAACGGGATGCAATTACGTTTTAGGGGAAACAATCAACACAGTTCATGAATTATTTACATTTAATGTTCTACTGTTCAATTCCCATAAACTTTCATGCAACTGTTGTGACTTGCCACAACCTATGTGGTAATTAACATTATCGGCTTACACAATGGCTGAAAATGAGTGCAGCTAAGTGTAGGAAGGCGTTTCCTATTCTCGCGGTACTTACGGATATCGGCTGAAAAAATAACACAAACAATTCATGAATGCTTGTTGTTTTTTAAATGAAGGGCCTTCTCCTCTAACATCTACATCTATCAGCTGCTAGATCCATCAGGTGAATTACCACTCGTGAGCCCGGTGATAAACAATGCCATCCGCCATTGACGAAACGAGGCTTCTCCCATTCTCGCGGTATTACCAGGAATTAACGTTATTGAGTGTATGTAAGAGCAATCCTGCCGGAAAGGGCGGGAAAAAGTAATGATATGTCCAAGTTGGTATAAAATCCCCAATATTCATGATACTGCAAGATTTTGATCACTTACAGACTTGGTCAACTTCCTAGTTACCAGTCGGTGATGTAAACAACCGGTAAGTGTCGCGCATCGGCGATTTCGGCAGAAAACGTGTTTACCGCGAGAATAGGAAACCCGCGAGAATAGGAGACGGAGCTTTTATGATAATTAAAGTGACAAACACTTTCATTTCCAAACACATCATTTCCGTATAATCAAGCGCAAATTTTAAAGTTTACATGACAAGACCTGTCGGGAACCCTGGGTCCCGATCCACAAAGCATTCGTAGCGCTACGACATTCGTAAGCTTATGATGAACTATAGAGTTACGACAGGTCGAAACGTTAAGAACGCTTTGTGGATCGGGCCCCAGGGTACTATCGCCACCATCACCAGAAAATATCCAGTTCTATTGTCCACCAACTGACAAAATAGTCAGTAGAAAAAGTCAAAACAGTAGTGGAACGCAGTGATGGCACCGGAAAGGGTGAGCATGTCCTCCTCCAATGCAGCACTCTCTATCTGCACCATTTGACCAGAAAAGCAATTTCCTGCCTGTTTTCCAATATTTTAACAATAGTCAGACCATGAAAAGCCAGTGCTAGTGAGTCTGAACCATTCCAATGACACGACATGTGTATCGATGAAGCGGAAAATAACCTGACGGGCTAAAGAAACTCTATCATAGATTGAAAACACTATTGTGAAATAACCACACTACATAGATCTCAACGACGGAGGTTAACACGCACTCTTCCGTCAGCTCTGAACAGAGAGAAGCGGCTTTCATCCGAGAGCAGCACCATCTGTCACTCACATCGCTGCCAACGTCGAACCGTCCGGGCCCATCTAAGTCTCCGTCGACGATTTTCGGAAAGGTCTGTAAGGCCGGATTCCATGGGACCTCAGTCCGCTGGCTACTGTGTATCGGCTTACACGGCCCCGCGCCTCTGATGACGTCGCCGCCAGGAAACGTTTTCTGAGATGCAGCGTGTGCAGATACTGGTCCTCCTGGGGAGTTGTGACTCGAAGTCTACCTGTCTGAGGTCAGTCCTGTCTGACGGTACCGCTGCATGAGTGACGGTGACGCGATGACACTGACAGCCAAGCGTTCTTGCAACGTGGGTGTGGGAGGCTCCCATATCGATCATTCTGATCGCCCGTTCTCGTTGTCGCAAAGTTAATCGAACCATTCTTTTGGTATTGTTTGAATAAAATGAATACTAGTATCTGACAACCCGTTTGCATTGGTTCTATACCCGTTTGACATTAAATTTTTTCGCTTTGCTTGAAAAAATGCAAACCTTATTTGGACAAAATGTTGAAAAAACATCCGTTGCATGCCTTATTTCCAAGTGGAAAACTCATTGTTGCGTTTGGGCGATGTGTTTTCATGTGATGGTGATTACAGCTGAAGTTGGAGTTTGGGGTAGTTTCAATTTCAAAGTGGTAACGTTTCTTCAGCTCGTCAGTTTACATATGCGATAATGTTTACTTATAAGTATTTCTGTTGGATTCAGGTGCAGAGATTCTGCTTTTTTATAAACAAAGTTAAACACATTAGTGAACAAACTTTATGAATAGCAACTTCTTTATTTCGTGAGTGCGACGTTTCGATACATATTCTTGTGCCATTGTCAAGCATGAATGAAACATGGACACTTCATGGCAGGGTCAAAGTCTTGGCCCAAGCAATGGTTTATTATTTGTAATTATTGATTATTGTAAATTTATGATAAATCTCAAGTACCCCAGCCCGCTAGCTGACACATTGGCCCTGTTCAAGTAATTATAAGACTTCAATATATTTTTAAAACCCCAAATACCCTTTTCATTCATTCCGCGTTCGTTGGAAATAACATAAATATTTTATCAATAAATACTATACAATATTTTTTTTATCAATATTACAGTAAGCTGTTTCTTCGAATTGAAATTGCTGGTAGTTGCTATAGGCTCTATACCATGATACAGTTATTGATTACCATCTTTCTGTTTACACATAATAAAATAGGGTAACCTTCTGACTATATGCTGAGTATATCGGGAGTAGGTGTTTATGACTAATTATCAGACAGTGATGATTCCAGGTGTTCGGGTAAGGGTGGGCGCATCCGGCGCCACATTGGGGGTACGCTGCAGTATTCCAAATAAACTATGCAACATCATGAGTGAGTGAGTGAGTTTTGTTTTACGCCGCACTCAGCAATATTCCAGTTGTAAATAATCAAGTCTGGACCACACAGTCCAGTCATCAAAAGCATGGGCATGTGTTAACCAAGTCAGCGAGCCTGACCACCCGACCCCGTTAGTCGCCTCTTACGACAAGCATTGGTTACTGAAGATACATTCTAACCCGGATCTTCACGGGTCATGCAACATCCTGTCACTGGGGTACGCTGCAGTATACAGAGTAAACTATGCAACATCCTAACACTGAGGTACGCTGCAATTATTTTCGGGAAACTATACCACATCAAAACTTTAGACTCACTTAGAGCACTCACTATATGTTATGTATATACATGTGGTTACATTGAAGATGAATTTCTCCACTAACTTGTGGGAACCAACTGCAAACTTTATGTAGATGAATTGCACCAGGATCATGCATGAAATTTGAAAAGAGCAAGTGCAAATATCGTGCATGTGAACAGCTGCGTTTTTGGTGTAAAGCTTTGTTAAGAATTTGCCAATTTTCACGGAGTTTCATCATATATTGAACTCATGACAATAATTTTTTCAACTCTACGAATTTGCATTACATTACATCAGTTCATGTGTAAACAGTACCTTTAAACAGTATGGAATATTTTGCAAAATCTAGTTTAGAACAGTTGACTGAAGTAAGTGGCTACATTTACACTAGTGAGTCTAAACTTTTGATGGAGAGTGAATGTACAGTACAGCCAGACATTATTGAGAATTTAAGATTGTAAATTTTAAAAAAAAAATCACTCATTACTCACGTATTATATGTGAATATTAGCAGAACATAACTCCAGATTCAAAGACAGGTGAACAGTTACTATTGTGTCAAGTCACCTACCATGGTCAGCAATGCAGGCTTCAATGCGGCGGGGCATACAACTGATCAAAGAAGTTAGAAAGTCGTGGTCCATGCTGTCCCAATATCGGACCACCTCTTCTTTCATTTCAGCAATATTTGTCAGATTTTTCTTATCGACACTTTCCTTCATAAGTCCCCCAACATTTTCTATTGGATTTAGGTCAGGGTTATAGCTTGGCCAATCTCATAATGTCATATTTTGGGTCCGAAACCAGGACTGTGAATGCTTTGAACGATGTTTTGGGTCGTTGTCCTGCTGGAAAATCAAAACATTTCCATAGAACACGTGAGCAGATGGAAGTAAATGTCCCTCGAGAATATCTGTGTACCGCTCACTGTTCATATTCCCTTCAAATACACAGAGGGGTGTTGCCCCTAACACAGATATGCCACCCCACACGTTAAATTTCGGACTGTACTTTGGGCGCTGATACAAAAGTTTTTCAGTTTGTTTGGTCCAGAATTTCAGTGTATTAGGAAACAGCCACACACAACTTTCATCTGAGAAAATCACATTGTCCCAGTTAAGGATTTCTATGCTGTAAGCACCAGTTCAACCTTCGCTCCTTTTGTTCAGGTTTCATGATCGGTGATGGAATTCCTCGACTTTTCTACACACCCATTGCATGCAGCTCAGTTCTAATTGTCTCCTTACAGACAGCCACAGTTCCTCTATCAATCATATCCAGCCTTAAGTTTTCTAAACTCCTTCGTTTGTTTTTAGAAACAAGAAAACCAAGCCGCCTCCTGTCACCGACAGTCAATTTTCTGGGCCTACCTGCGCCTCTCTGGTGCTAAATGCCATATCCATTTGCAATATGTTTCAAAACACGATAAACAGTGGACAAAGGTATGTCTGTTCTACTTGAAATCACTTTAACTGATCTGATGTCCTTGTTATAATACTCTAAAATCAACTTCCCCTCCTCTAAATCATCCATACTGAGGATCACTGAAAATGTCGTCTGCTGGCAAGTAAACAAAGGGGGATAACTCTTCGCAAACTAATGAAAAAGGATTAACGGAGTTGTCTCTCTTGAATGAAATCAAGCACTTGATAGCTGGTCAAGGTTGTTTATACTAGAAATCCAAGTAAACATATTCCTCAAATTCTCAATAATTTCTGGTCATACTATAACATCCTAACACTGGGGTACGCTGCAGTATTCCCACGGCACCATGGGATCTGTAGAGTAACACCACGGCATGGTATCGTTTGACTCTGTCAAGCACCTGTTCCCCGCCTCCTCCATACTGGTGATTGTTTGCATGTTGCTGGGCGAGTCAAACATATTGAAGTGTCCATGAGGTGTGTGGGAGTCCCATCGCTGACATGTCCGACCGTATTTGGTGATGTTGTGACTGCCCAAGTACATAGTTCCCGTCACACAGCGGTCACCTGGAGAACAATATAATGTGACAGTGTATAGCCGTACTCACGTTCCATATCATATGCCAGAGAACTGTGCCGTACTCACGTTCCGTACAATGTGACGCAGAGCTTTGCCGTACTCACGTTCCGTACAAATGTGACAAAGTGCTGCCGTACACCGCGACGGAGAACTTTGGCGTACTCACGTTCCATATAACGTGACAGTGTATAGCCGTACTCAAGTTCCATACGTTATACCAGAAAACTGTGTCGTACTCACGTCCCATACAACGTGACTAAGCGCTGCCGTACTCACGTTCCATAAAGTGTGACGGAGCGCTTTGCCGTACTCGTGTTCCATACAATGAGGCAGAGTGCTGCCGTACGCACGTCTCATAAAATGTGTCTGTGAGCTGCCGTACTCACGTTCCCTATAATGTCGCAGATTGCTACCGTACTCACTTTCTACACACTGTGACAGGGCGCCTCCGTACGTGCAGACACTGCCCCGGAGGCAAGTGTGATGTGCACACGGCCCGATGAGAGACTGCAACAGATAAATAGGAGAACGATTAATGATATTAGAGACTGCAATAGATGAATGGGAGAACGATTAATGATATTAGAGACTGCAATAGATGAATGACAGAACGATAAATGATATTAGAGACTGCAATAGACGAATGGGAGAATGATTAATGATATTAGAGACTGCAATAGATGAATGGGAGAATGATTAATGATATGAGAGACTGCAATAGGTGAATGGGAGAATGATTAATGATATTAGAGACTGCAATAGATGAATGGGAGAATGATTAATGATATTAGCGACTGCAATAGGTGCATGGTTAATGATATTAGAGACTGCAATAGATAAATGGGAGAATGATTAATGATACTGGAGACTGCAATAGATGAATGGGAGAATGATTAATGATATTAGAGACTGCAATAGGTGAATGAGAGAACGATTAATGATATTAGAGACTGCAATAGATGAATGGGAGAATGATTAATGATATGAGAGACTGCAATAGGTGAATGGGAGAATGATTAATGATATTAGAGACTGCAATAGATGAATGGGAGAATGATTAATGATATTAGAGACTGCAATAGATGAATGGGAGAATGATTAATGATATTGGAGACTGCAATAGATGAATGGGAGAATGATTAATGATATTAGAGACTGCAATAGGTGAATGAGAGAACGATTAATGATATTAGAGACTGCAATAGATGAATGGGAGAATGATTAATGATATTAGAGACTGCAATAGATGAATGGGGGAATGATTAATGATATTAGAGACTGCAATAGATGAATGGGAGAATGATTAATGATATTAGAGACTGCAATAGATGAATGGGAGAATGATTAATGATATTGGAGACTGCAATAGATGAATGGGAGAATGATTAATGATATTAGAGACTGCAATAGGTGAATGAGAGAACGATTAATGATATTAGAGACTGCAATAGGTGAATGAGAGAACGATTAATGATATTAGAGACTGCAATAGATGAATGGGAGAATGATTAATGATATTAGAGACTGCAATAGATGAATGGGAGAATGATTAATGATATTAGAGACTGCAATAGATGAATGGGAGAATGATTAATGATATTAGAGACTGCAATAGATGAATGAGAGAACGATTAATGATATTAGAGACTGCAATAGGTGAATGAGAGAACGATTAATGATATTGGAGACTGCAATAGATGAATGGGAGAATGATTAATGATATTAGAGACTGCAATAGATGAATGGGAGAATGATTAATGATATTAGAGACTGCAATAGATGCATGGGAGAATGATTAATGATATTAGAGACTGCAATAGATGAATGGGAGAATGATTAATGATATTAGAGACTGCAATAGATGCATGGGAGAATGATTAATGATATTAGAGACTGCAATAGATGAATAGGAGAATGATTAATGGTTATACTTGTTACAACGCCTTCCTTCCTTCGCAACATACACATCACTGATTGTTTTGGTTTTGGGTTGTTGTTTTACGCCGCACTCAGCACTATTACAGCTATATGGCGGCGGTCAGTAAAAAATCGAGCCTGGACCAAACAATCCAGTGATCAACAACATGAGCATCAATCTACGCACTTGGGATATGATGACATATGTCAACGAAGTCAGCAAGCCTGCCCACCCGATCGCGTTAGTCGCCTCTTACGACAAGCATTGGTTGCTTAATAATAGTTCTAAGTCTTCACGGGTCTAATATGCCACAGTCTAACATGAATAACTAAAAGCGGCGTAAAACAAAACTCACTCACTCCAGTATGGAGTCCTGGAAGGGACATTGTCGCGTTGTCGCATTGTCCCGTTTTCGCCCTCTCAAAAACAAGCAAAATGAGGCAAAATTAACCCAAGTGCGACAATGCGACAACGCGACATTTCGGCCATTTGTTGCATTATCGCGATGTCTCATATCGCGTTTTGAATAATATTTTTCTATTCTTTCAAAGGGCGACAATGCAATATAGCGACAATTTTCAAGGTCAAAATATGTCCCGTTGTCGCATTGTCGCCGCATCTAAGATGTGTAAAAAAAGCCTAAAAGTTCGCGACAATGCGACATATTTTGACCTTGAAAATTGTTGCTATGTCGCATTGTCGCCCTTTGGAGAAATAGAAAATGATTATTCAAAACGCGACATGCGACAAATGGCCGAAATGTCGCGTTGTCGCGCTTTGTTTAATTTTGCCACATTTTGCTTGTTTTTTGAGAGGGTGACAACGCGACAATGCGACAACGCGATAATGTCCCTTCCAGGATTCCAAACTCCAGCGATGTCAGCGCCCCTATATTCCAGCCGTCACCACCTGTAGGCTTCATAGGAATAACGTTGAAGGATTTTCTACCATTAACTGAACGACCAATTCTATTCCATTAAAACTGTAGCTTAACAAAATTGCTTATCAAAAACCCTTTTCACTCGTAAACTCAGTTATCCATGCACGCTCCGCTCAGAGCTTCTTTGAAAGGTAATAAAGTCGTCCCTCTTGAGGAAACGCTGTTCCTCCTTGACTGCAAGTCGTCCGACCTGTCAGGTTTAGATCGATGCGAACGCCTATTCTTACTGTTAGGCTGTCCATATTTTCCTTGTGTCGCGGGTTCGATCCCCGACCGCGTCATACCAAACGACGTTAAAATATGGTACTTGTTGGGTACAACAAGGACTGGTCGGCTCGGAGTCAGTATAATGTGTCTGAGTGAGGTATTCATGCTTCACTGCGGCATGGTATCTCAGTGGGCTACCACTATAAAACCAGCTTCAGTCTGGGCTAGTACAAGCAGCCGCACATACACATACACACGCATGCACGTCGTCATATGAGCGAAATATTCTCAAGCACGACGTTAAACCCAATTTCACCTCACCTCATCTCATCTCACCTGTCCGCCATAATTTTAATTCCAACGTGAAATAATGAAAAACGATACCCCTTATCTTATCTCAATTGTCCAAACGCTGTAATAATGTTTGTCCTGATGTGATAAAAATATATACTCTTCCACTGCAAACTCAATGAAAACAGATCAGCTTAATCTTTCTCCATCTACATGAGTTTAAAGGTGTGTTTTTCCGTAGCAAGGCGACTCTATCTACATCATACATGTATTTATAGAATACTACAAACTAATCTAAATTCTAAAATAATTTCATTAACAATTTGTGAAACATTTAGGTTTTTTATATTAATTTATGATTTATAGATGTTTGAATCTGATGTTGAGGGGTCTGAAGGTTTTACCAATGTAATGGTCCCCGTAGTTGTGGGCCTGTGACTAGAGCTTTTGGTGTATCTGCCATTGACATGCACAAGGGTCTTGCAGAAGGAAAAGATGACATCTAGGTTGGTTCTGTTCATGGGGCGGGTAATCTGATGGCTGATAGGACCTGTTTTGGATGTGGTAATCTTGAACCTGCCCCAACGTCCACCAGAATCAACATTCAGTACCAAGGCCTGCTGCCAGTCATCATATTTCACCCCTCAACAAACACATTGTACAAAGCCAACATAAATCGCACGTTTCCGATAATCTGTATGTCCTTGTACTGTCTTTATGAAAACGTTAATGCAGTTCCATGATCCACTAATTCAGTGTAATTCAAAGCTTGATACATGTGCCACAACTGAACGCAGAGCATTCTTGAGCCCAACATAAAGCCTCAGGACACAATCTTAGAAAAGTCCAATTGACACAATTCTGGTCACATCCGTCCCTTACACGTTGTGTAAAGATGTCAACCTGCCCGTTTCAGTGCGCCCAGAGCTTCATGTGTCGTGTTTGGTATGTTTACATATGTTCAAACTGAATATAATCACTTTCTGTGTTGCAATGCCATGCCAGGAAGTACGACGAAGGTTACAAAGGAAACCATTGTGTAACAGTACTGCAAAATGTTTGTTTTTGTTTCCTTACGACATGCCTTGTTGCCGATGACCAATCCTACCCAGACTCATCACTGAGAGTGAAGATTAACTAAAACAGATGAGCTGATTTTATAGTTTTGACTACTGTAAGGGTGGCTTAAAAATGAACGATGTTATATCATTCTGTAAGTACATGAAAATCAAATGAGATTACTGACACCAAAAGGGTTGTGGCAGCACCTAGCATTCGAGATATTATCACCTTTTGGTGACATTAATCTATTCAGCTTTTAAGTGGAAAGATGTTCTTTCATTCTATGCATGTATTTATTCTAAAATTAGTGAAAGAGTCGATGATTATATGTGCTTGACACTTCTTAATTTTTTACCTGTTATCGATATTGGGTTGTTTGTCTCATGGTTAAAAAAAGGCATTAAATATATGAAAGACATTGTCTCGAACAATGGTGAATTCAAGTCCTTTGATATGCTTAAAGAAGAATTTAATCTTAACGAAACATATCTCCTTTATTTAAGATTTTTGAAATATATACCCAAACATTGGATCAAAGCCATCAAAGACACAAATCAAAAGATAGAATCAGTAAACACTCAATGTAAAACTCTCACACAAATACTCAACACAGGTGACTGTAAATTCATATATACTCAGCTATGTGAAAGTCAAAGAAGCTCTCTCTATAATCTTCAGCTGAAATGGGAAAACAAACTTAATATTGCTCTAGCAGATGACTATCTCCGTGACTGTTTTGCATTGATAAATAAAACTACCATAGCAAATAAAGCCAGGAGTTTTCAGTATAAATTGATTCACCGAATAGTTACAACTAAGTCATTTCTGTTTAAGATAGGTATCAGTGATAATAATGCCCGTACCCTCTGCAATAAAGAAACAGAAACTTTAGAACATTTATTCTTTTCTGTGAAAAAAACAAAGCGCCTTCTCTCGATACAAAACCAGCTGCAATCTAAGTATAAATGTTGAACATTTCCTGCTGGGAGACTCGGAGGCACCTGTCCTGATTAACCATCTTTTTTATCATTATCAATAAATACATTAACAAAACAAGGTATGCCTTTACGGAATTAAATATCAACCAACTTATAGTTTTCATAAAATATCATTTCAAACTAGAAAAAACTTATTTTCGGCGAAAATGATGAAAAATTTCGTATAAAATGGACTTCTCTGATCCCTTGTGAGTGAAACCCTTCTGCACCCTGTGTCTATACCGCTATCTTTCTCTTTTCAATTCCTTTCGTCTGCACGTTTAATTTTATGTGAAAACCTTATCTGTACCTGTTTGATTCAATAAGAAAAAAAATAAAATAAAAATAGTTAATTAAATAAAAAAAGATTTAATTAGGAGATAAACCTACTGTGTTGGAAAATCAGAGGTATATAACGAAATTATAATAGCTCTAAATTTCATTTAAAACCGAACGCGTAGCGTGAGGTTTTAAATGAACAATTTAGAGCTATTATAATTTCGTTATATACCTCTGATTTTCCAACACAGTAGGTTTATCTCCATTCTACCATGACAATTTTATGAACAATTTCAGGTGGAGCTCTTTCTTTGGTTACGAGTCAATACGTGAAGCGGCCTCGCATTCCAATCTCAAGTGGTATCGTCCGAAACGGGGTGTTTGGTGGCAAACCGTCAATGACTAACAAACTCCAGATTCAGTAATAACAAATCACGTTTTGTTTTTTCAATGCATCAATCACCAATCATTAACTGATAAGTTGGAAAACATATATCAAATAAGTTTCAAAAGCTTGGTTCACATTTGAAAATTCCACCGTAGACCCTTTCCCCACCAGAATAGTGGTAGCAACCTCATGGCCTTGACCTTTTCTCGAAGTCATTGTTTACATTTGGAAAGATGCGACAGGAGAGCCACTGACAGTTTGAGCAAGGTTAACCTGATTGTATGACTGAGATAGTCTTTGATATCTAATTACTGGTACTGGTACAAAATTTAAGAGTAGAGGCGCTTTTGCTGTAACGAGAAGTCCGGGTTGTACCGAATTAGATGCTGTTGAATATTGCGCCCTGTCAACTTGACGATTTCACGCACCTCTACGTCTGCGTGCGACAGCTGTGGTGACTTACACACTCATGTGTGTACTTTGTGCTCAAATTCGATTCTACGGATATTATTTTCTACATTTTGGAAAGTGTTTTGTGACCTAGTGGCTTCAAAGTGTAGTGAATTCAAATTGAATCGGATTCGCTGGCATGTTCGCGAGTCTGTTGACAAAGAGCCAGATTTGTGGTGATATTTCCGAAAGGATGGACCAGGACATGAGGGTGTACCTCTGGCATAAACACGGTAAGGTAATTAATTATACTTTAATAGACTACTTTAGATCAAGCAGTGTAACGGATAAGAGGGATCATGACTAAGCCAAATAACTTTTTCAACGATATTACACTGTTAGAAAAATATATGTTGGGCTAAACAGAACGGTTTGCAGATTCAGTAATTGTGTTTTTACTACCGCTGAATTTGAAACAGTACAAATTTCAAAATATCATTTTGTTTGAATTGATAACCCAACTGTTTATTTATGTGGACGGAAGGCATTAAAATTTCTTCGGCGTTCGATGTTAATACATCCTCCGTTACCGGATCAAGATCAGTGGCGATATCGTTGACGAAAGCTGATAATAAATTTAACACGGAAATTATGTAGCAGTCTATTGCTGGATCTATTCTGACGTAACATAGAATCAACGTAAACTGAATTTTTATTCGGAAAGCAGACGGTGTTTTGATCTTGTTCGACTGAATATTTGTTTCCATGCTTTCGAAGTACTTTTGTATGTATAAACACCTATTGCTGTGATTTACGCAAGTAGTGAGTCGAGCCCGTCATCGCTAAATCCATCTTTAAAGACATATGTGTAATTTCCGACAGTAAATCGCCGTAATTTATCGATGCATCGGTAGGTTGTTTGGTGTCCGCCATGTTAGATATCTAGTGGGCAGACAAAAATAGTGCATTACCGTAAACCATGTATGATTGCGCACGGAAAACAGAGACCTGTATAACGTGATTATATACCTCTGAATGACTTTAATTAACCAATCACAATCCAGTGTTTACTGAAGTCATGGTAGAATAGTTTTTAATCATGTTCTTATTGTCCTGTTCATGGGTAAACAGTTTTTCATTCTAGAGATAATATTTAGGTTGTAATTTGCCTATAATGTTCTTGATTAAAAAGGGGCGGTGGGATAGCCAAGTTGTTAAAGCGTTCGCCCATCACCTGGGTACAATGTGTGAAGTTCATTGCTGGTGTCCCCGTCGTGACATTCCTGGAATATTGCTTAAACAGCGTAACACCATACCTCTTAATCAAGGCTACAACATTCAAGACCTCTCCAGGATGCTTTATGGTATGTATTAATGCATACATGACGATTCCTATGCATACAATGACACATCAGAAGAAGGGAGAGTACGTCTGGTGCCCATGAATACTTCTTGCCTAAATGTCTATACTATATAGTTTTACAAAGATGATATCAAAATGAAGGACCAGCATTTCACATATTTTCTCAGTACACTGTCCGAAATCAACGTGAACTGCCGGCCTCCCACTCTCTAGCGTATGTAACTGTCATACCTGCATCGGCGTCCACCCACTCATTCATTAACCTCGTCACCGACAATGACAATACCTGTGGAAAACTTTCTGCATTGGCGTTAATCCACCCAGGTGCGTTGACTACCTGTCTCGGTGTTGTTGTGGATGTTTCGCAGTTCAGCTCACACGAAGACGTCGCTGTGTCGTAGTTGAAGGAGGCACAAATAGCATCATACATGCACTGCATGGCACAGTGGTACTGGGTGCGGGAGGACTTTACAACATAGGTGGAGCCCGATAGACGCAGCTTCTGGAACACACTGCCGGACAGTCTCTCTGAAAGTTCGGTGCAGGTCATGACTACTTGAGTGACACACAGAAACAAAACTACCACAACAGGTACGACCTTTGTCATCGCTGATTGTGTCACACGATTCTGTTTTTATCTTAGAAACACAGCGTTGGTACCTTCCAGCCTAAGAGACACAGCGCTGATCTTTACAAGGGTTACAGGGTTGATCCTCTTCAAATAAACAGTGCGATGAAACACTTAACTCTTTGGTGATAGGAAACGTCTTTAAAGGTTTGTATCTTGGCGAACAGCTATTCTCTAGCGATAACGTTACATCATATGCCAGTCCGAATCTGTTGCATAAAGAATCTGTCACTTCAATACAAAGTTGTGTCAAGAGTTGTCAGAGCTGTCCTTAAGTGTGCGACTTGGTATCCAAGTGATGCTAAAGGTGTCCACATTTCCAGAAGCACAGTGATTGTATCAGCAAATCAATGTGTTTCTATCACTATCGTGATATAATTCAGGCTGGCAACAGCTAACATTATAAAGAGATTGGTTCTGATAAGTGAACCGTGTTACTGTCCCTTTTTATGTTTGAACCTGCTGCGTTTTCTGTGGGACAGGCCGTTTTAAGTGCGTGCGTGCGTGCGTGTGTGTGCGCGTGTGTGCGCGCGTGTGTGTTATAGGTGTAATAATGAGTTGATGAATAAACACTATTGTTATCCTCCAAATAAAACAAAAGATATCTTTTAATAATATTAACACTAATTTTGAAGTACTCTTATAATATGATTTTGTCATGTATTTGACTATAACATTTTTTGCACTTCATTACTTCATGTGGCAGTAGATGAGGGTCAACAGGCTGTGGGAAATTTAGGGTTTCATCATCAAAGGTCTCGGAAACTCATTCGAAAAGAATAACCTAAATATATTCTAAATATTTCATATCGCGGCAGTATATTATATGGTACGTGTATTTTGTGGCAGCTAGTTGAAGCGCTCGTGAAATGTCAAAGGAGTTTCTTTCAAAATTAATACTGATGGCATGTGAACGTTCAAGAACTGGTCCCTGAGGCACAGGTATAAGTAAACGCGCGATCACGCCACTTGATTGTCTGGACCAGAATCACTGGATTTTCTGGTCCAGACGCGATTGTTTATAGACCGCCGCCATATAGCTGGAATACCCTTAACCTTCTTATAGTCTACCCAATACGGGGAGCGTGGCAGATTCCCTTTGAAATCTATCTATTTTATAAAATACAATACATATTGGCTACGCATTAACTTACTAACGTATTGACACTGATATCCATGTCATTTACTAAATGCTGGGAGATGCCTGTAATAAAAAACCCGTGAAACAATTGGGCCTTAACGTATCCAACATTTGTAACGTACTTTTGGTTTTGGTATCGTATTGGGTGTCACATGGAGTAGGTTATCAACAGTTGTTTCTCACAATTTTCAAACAACGAGTTATGGACTGTCTCTCACATGATTGGCATACTTAAGTAGGAGAAAAACACTTGGTCATTACGCTACTTTCAAACCATTATTAGATTGTGAAAAATATAAATATCATCAACTGTATAAGTAAATCTAACTGTTCACAGTTAAAATCAAGAGTTCAAAATGTAAGAAGGATAAAATGTCTAACTGATGACAAAGAAACAAGATGTAATGAGTGCAATAGCCTAAAGATAGAACACCGTGTCATCTTTGTGTATTAAAGAGCAAGAAAAACACTTTTTGAATTGAACAAAAAGGGTATAAATATATTCTGTACTACTATAGTCTGTTTGCAGAGAAAACGTACCGATGAATTTCACATTAAACAAAAAAGTAAATCGAATAAAGTGATATAAAGACTGCGAATCCTCATAATTTTACCTCGCCAATTGAACATTTAAATCTCAGAATTTGATTCAGCTTCGGATAAAAGTTCTTTAACGATCATAGTTTTACATCGCTATCATTGGTTTGTATTACAAGGGGGTATGCACATCAAATGAAACACCGAGAACAAGTAGGGATGGTCTAAGTTAACGTTCATCACGTACCGCCCGCGCATTTGTTTCACTGTTCCAACTACTGCGCTTACCCCCTTGTAATACAAACCAATAATAGCGATCTGAAACTATGATCGTTTGTTAAACAACTTTTACCCTAAGTTGAATAAAATTCTGAGATTTAAATGCACAATTGGCAAGGTAAAATTATGAGGATTCGCAATCTTAATTTCACTTTATTTGATGTACTTTTTTGTTTAAAGTGAAATTCATCGGTACGTTTTCACTGCAAACAGACTATACACAAAATGACTTGTTTACAGTTTCAGTAAACCCGTGAAGATACGGGTTAGAATTGATCTTCAGTAACCCATGCTTGTCGTAAGAGGCAACTAACGGGATCGGGTGGTCAGGCTCGCTGACTTGGTTGATACATGTCATCCGTTCCCAATTGCGCAGATCGATGCTCATGCTTGTTTGTCTGGTCCAGACTCGATTATTTACAGACCGCCGCCTAATGGCTGGAATATTGCTGAGTGCGGCGTAAAACTAAACTCACTCACTAACACTTTCCGTAAATTCCTTTTCTCAGTTGGATGAGAGAGATAAACTTATTGAAACGTAAAATAAGTGAAGCGCTTATAAAATATAACTCCCACACTGGTGATATTAGTCTCCATTTATTGTTTGTTCAGTTTGTAACTATGAACCACATAGCCTACAGTTACAGAATAAACTGTCTGTCTGATTCATAAAGCACACCCATACTTCAAAAACACCGGATTGAAATTCATCAAGTATGCTTTTCCAAACAAATGGCTATTAATATGAACAAAAGTCCAGCGACTAAATATATTAAAAGGAATATATAATAAACGTTTTTATCCTAGTTATTTTACAAAGCCTTCGAACAATATTTCCCCTTTATCACCATATAACGATGGAAGATACGGGACATAACCAGCGATGAATAATTAATGTGGTCGTTCGGTTCCTTGTATTGTGGATACAATTTCGTGACAATAGCGAGTTAAACCGAAATATCAAGGCATATATCGGTGTAGAAAACGGTGTGTGTCATTGTTTACGACGCCTTCCGGGTTTCGAAACTGCTTAAATAACGTTTTCCTTATGTAAGAGTAACGATGGACGTTTTTGTGGTGACGTATTCTTGAATAAGTGCATGTACAGTCATTAAGTCAGTTATGTGTGTCTCGGACAGAGTAGGGATTTGCTCACTGACAGGTGCCATCAATTCAGAATGTTTTGGGGCACGGTGTACAGGTGAACGATGCAATAATCAAGACTGAGTGAGTTTAGCTTTACGCTGCAATCAGCGCTATTCCAGATATATGGCGGTGGTCTGTAAATAATCGTGTCTGGACCAGACAATCCAGTGATCAACAGCATGAGCATCGATCTACGCAATTGGGAACCGATGACATGTATCAACCAAGTCAGCGAGCCTGACCACCCGATCCCGTTAGTCGCCTCTTACGACAAGCATGGGTTACTGAAGATCAATAGTCTAACCCGGACCTTCAAGGGTCAATAATCAAGAAATTCGGTAAGTTAACGGCACAAACTCTGAGGAGGGATTTTGGCTCTAAATCGAAACAACATTATATTTCCGGCCTCGAAGTCCCTAACTCCCAACTTCTTGTGATCTATGTGTCATTCTCATTTTGTAGGTAAATCTATTGGCTTAAAATGCGTATATACTGAGAGCATGGTTGAATTCGTCTGAAGTAAACTTGTGTGGAGGTCGTGACGTCTCTTTCGTTTCAAATAGTGCGAGGTCAGCATCAATGAGAGCATGTACTAACTATCCAGTGATCAACAGCAGGAGCATCGATCTTCGCAATACGATGACATGTTTCAACAAGTCAGCGAGCCTGATCACCATTCCGCTTACGACAAGCATGAGTTGGAGAAGACCAATTCTAACCCGGATCTTCAAGGGTCGACAATAGACCGTAGTTCCATTATATACCAGTCTGCGTTACAAACCCCTATGAATATAATGGCTACCGAGATTAACAAGCAGCCAGTGATGATGGAGCCATGGGTCTGGGTATCACCAGGAACTAGCTATGGTGACACTAACAAGATGGCAATCAAGATATTATCATCACCACCACCACCACCACCATCATCATCATCATCATCATCATCATCATCATCATCATCATCATCATCATCATCATCATCATCATCATCATCATCATCATCATCATCATCATCATCATCATCACTGTCCTTTTCAACCAAAGCTGTGCAGGACACATGGTGTTGAATGGATCAAAACTTCAGCAGATTCCTTGCGGAAAGAGAGAAATTCAGAAGATGTAATAACTGCCCCTCCTGTGGGTGAAAAGACATGCTTCGTTGTATTTACACTTGTCAAGAGTGCAGTATGAGAAGGTAAGATATCCGAGAAGATAATTATTCACTGTCTCCACAAGCACACTTTCGCAAATCTGTCAAAGCTAGCCAACCTGGATGGCTATCCACATGAAACTACAAACATCCGATTATGACAAACGGCACACAACAACGTACACACTGCAATCAGTAACTGACTGCCTAAAGAAACTGTCAATGATCTGATGCACATTCAAATTGAAGCTTGGTTTTATGAGAGTTTTTTGTAGGGTAGTGTGGGAGTGGAGAGGGAACAGGATGGCCGAATCCTCAAGTGTTAAGATAAGTGGTAACACCCTATAACTGAGTTGAAAGGGGAATTTTCTTCTCTTTCCCAAATTACTGTGACGGTACCTGTTGAAATTCAGTAGTGATTTAGTGAATGAGTTTAGTTTTACGCCACGTTCAGCACTATTCCAACTATATGGCGTTGGTCTGTAAATAATCGAGCCCGGTCCAGATAATTTAGTAATCCACAGCATGACCACTGGCCTGGCAACTGGGATTTACAATGACAGCCCTGTGAAATACTATTCCACAGTAAGTGAGTGAGTTTAGTTTCACGTCGCACTCAGCAAGATTCCAGCTATATGGCGGCGGTCTGTAAAGAATCGAGTCTGGACC